TGAGCGAGGAGGAAATGTCATTGCTTTTTATAACTTAGTCTCAGAAGTCATGCAGAGTCACTTCCATTGCATTCTCTTGGTTACAGGTGAGTCACAAAGGCTAGTCCAGATTCAAGGAGAGGGAGGAGTGTTTAGAATTTTGCAGACATGGAGCGTCTGGGTGGTGTAGTCAGTTAAGCATCTGACTCTTGGTTTTGGTTCGGGTCATCATCTCAGGGTCACAAGATTGAACCCTATGTCTGGCTCTGTGCTCAACATGAAGTCTGCTTGGGTTTCTCTCTGCCCCTCCCCCTCCCACCACCCTTTCTTTCACAAATAAATAAATCTTTAAAATAAAATAAAATGAAATTCTGCAGACATGTTTTAAAATCACCACACTTGCATTTCATTATAGCTTCATCACCTGAATGTCCTTTAGCACTATATTTGTGCTTTGCTCTCTCTCTCTTTTTTTTTTTTTTTTTACTTACTGACTCTCGTTCCTTTCTCTTCCTTATATCTGTTGAAGAACATGGGCCATTTGTCTTGCACAGTTTCCCACAATCTGATTTTTACTAGTTGAATATTCATGCAGTTTGACATGTTTCACTGTTTCTGCAAGTTGGCAAAATTTAGAGGCTCAGGCTTGGATTCAATTTTTTTAGCAAGGCTATTTGGGTGGTGTTGCTTCCTTTCTCATGAGGCACATATGTCTATTTGCTTCTATTTTTGGGATGTCTGTAGCTGCTGATACTGCTTGATAGTATGAACTAAGGTTTCTTAATTCATAGGAAGCTAAAAATCATAATAATCTACCCTATGATTTCTTTTTCCTTTATTAGTTAGAATACTTTATAAAGAAATGATTCCTTTCACCTGCTATTTGGTTTCATAGTAGTATAGTTCATACCATAAGCAAGGACAATGATTGACTTTTCCCATTTATTTGCCAGTTTTTAGGATATTGAATTGGTTCCCTATCATCCTCTAATGGTGACCAATAGATTGAAATATATGTATAAATACATATTTATACCATCATTACCTCATGGATTTTTAACATATGGATATGTTTCAATTCCTTGCAATTATCATATCCTCACATTTTTTTCCCTTGAGTATATTAAATATGTTGCTCCATTTTCTTCTGGCATAAAGTATTGCTGCCAAAAAGTCTGAGGATAATCTAATTCTCTTTCATCTAAGTCACTTGCTCTTTTTGTCTAGATACCCAAAGAAATTTGCATTATTTTTTCTTTAAAGTCCAGTATTTTTACAAGAATGTGTCTTAGTGTTGATAATTCTAGGTCAATTTTCTCAGGTGCAATGTGTTCTCTCAATGCCTAGATGCAAACATATATATTTTTTTATTTCAAGAGGGCTTTCTTGAAGTCTAGTTTGAAGTATTTGTTTTCTTATCCCTGCCTCCTTTTTCCCCCCATGGGACTCCTTTGCCTAGCTTCAATATTTGCCATTTTCTCTCTGATTTTTTTTAAACCTCTCATTGATTTTTAAAATCTTCCTCCTCTTCATCTTAAAGCATAATCAAATGCGTTTACTAACCTTGGGTTTCTTTTAATTTAGTCTTCATTTCCAAAGTAATTTTTTTCTTATTTCAATTTCTATTCTGAGTTTGTTCATTTCATTTTGATTGTTTCTAACTCTGATTTATATAGTTTGTTCATGTCTCATATCATTTTCTTAGTGTCTTTTAAGTAGCGTGTGTTAGTTTTGATCTACCCTGTGTGCATGTCTTTCTGCCGTGCTTTTATTGTCTATAGAAGTGCTATTCGGTTCTTATTCTCTTTTTCACTACAGTAGTCTCCTATGGGATTTGACTTCCATACTTTCTTGTTGCTTGTGTGTATGTGAAGTGGGTTTTCTTGAACTTTTTGAAGGAGGCAGTTTTCAGGATAGCTTTTCTGACTTCACAGAGAACCTTTTTCTGTTTTTACAGTGCAGTATTAACATTTTTAAAAGCTTACTTTCAGAGACTTTCTGGTCCTATTTTTTTTTTTTTTTTTTTCTGGACCTCCTCTTTCCTTTGTCTTTATCTGGTTCAATTTTGTTTCCCTGCCCATAAGTCTGTCCTCAGTGTGGGCCCCTTTCCTAAGGAAGCCTTGGTAGGTCAATTTCAAGAGTTCCTACAGCTCTATTGCTCCAATCTCCTCAGACCTTACCGTGAGTCCCTTGCACTCTGATGACCTTAGAGATAACAAACACCCTTTCCTATTTCAGCGGCTCTTCTCAACTTGACTGGCCAGGCCTTCCAGTGAATACCTTCTGGCTATTTTGGAATTTTCCAGATGCCTCACTGATTCCCTTTGCTGATACCATAAAGATCTTGTGAGGGCTATTGCTTTGTCCTCTCTTGCCTGTCCTGGAGATCATAGGGATACCATTTCACTTAGGCTTGTTGTTGACGCCATCCATGGGTTTTGGTTTTGCTTTAGAACTGCTTTGCCTGTTTTTATGTGGAGCAAAAAATAATGCTGCTGCTGTCATTTTCCCAGAATCTCCTCTCAAGAAACAGATTTTTTTGTTGTTGTTGTTGTTGTTTTTTGTTTTGTTTTTTGGTTTTAAACAAATTACCTAATAGTCATCTTAAAGGTCCACATACCCAGGCAATGGCATAGTTTTGTAGACAGTATGTGTAACCATGTCTTACCTTTCCCACTGCTTCCACCATTAGCTTCTTTTATCTGGACTATTCTAGTAGCTCCCAACTAGTCTCTCGGCTTCTACCGTGTGGTACCTCTACAGCAGTAGGAGTGATTTTATTTTTTATTTATTTTATTTATTTTTTATTTATTTTATTTATTTATTTTTTTAAGATTTTATTTATTTATTTGAGACAGAGAGAATGAGAGAGAGAGCACATGAGACGGGGGAGGGTCAGAGGGAGAAGCAGGCTCCATGCTGAGCAGGGAGCCCAATGCGGGACTCGATCCAGGGACTCCAGGATCATGACCTGAGCCGAAGGCAGTCGCTTAACCAACTGAGCCACCCAGGCGCCCAGTAGGAGTGATTTTAAAATATCAGCCAGATCATGTCACTCTCCGCTCAAAATATTGCAAAAGCTTTTCTCAACTTTCAGGCCCTCTGAGATCTGGCCCTTCTTTCTCTCCGACTTTCTCTCCCAGTGGCTCAGGCTGCGTCAGCCAGCTGCATTGGCCTCAAACACACCAGGCAGGCTTTCACCCCAGGGCATTTGCACTTCCATCCCCTCTGTTCCCAAGCTTTTCCTTCTGATTTCCACCTGGCTTGCTCCCTCACTACTTTGGTCTCTGCTCAAATGTCATCTTATCAGAAAGGCCTTCAATGACCTCCCCTCCCATCACAAAATGGAACTCTCATCCTCTTCCCATGTTTTATTTTTCTTCATGGCTCTTTCTACCATCTGACCTGTTATATATTCATTTTTTATGTATCGTTCTACCCATAATGCCATGAAAGTAGGAACTTTGTCTTCTTGGCAACCTGAACAGTTTTTTTTTTAGCACAAAGGTAGCACTTGATACAAATTTGGTAACTGAATGAATATATAAAATACCTAGCACCTAACAGGTATTCAAGAAATGTTTGCACTTTTTTTTTCTTCATAGGGGAAAGGAAGTGATCTGTAGGGAATACCACTATCTGCCATGATAGAACCAATAATGGAACAAAGTGAGAAAACTAAGAGAATAGAATAGTGGCATTAAAGCCAAAAGAAGGGGTAGTCGAAGTATCAAGGAGGTCAGAGCTGAATAGAGGCCATAAGACTGGTGCTATAGACTGTGCTGTATCCTCCCAAAATTCATACGTTGAAGCCCCGACCCCTAATGTGACTACATTTGGAGACCCTTTAGGAGGTAATTAAGTTTAAGGGAGATAGATCGTTAAGGGTGGGATCCTGATCCAACAGGATCAGTGCCCTTAAAAGAAGAGATACCAGAGCACATGTGCTCACTGTCTCTCTCTCTCTGTCTCCCCCTCTCTCTTGCTCTCTCCCTCTCTCCCTCTCTCTCTCTCTCCTTCTCCCACCCTCAGGCCTACGAAAACACAGCCACCATTGGCAAGCAAGTCAAAGAGCTCTTAGGAGAAACCTATCTTGTCTGTACCTTGATCTTGGACTTCCCACCCTCTAGAACTCTGAGAAATAAATTTCTGTTGTTTAAGCATAGAGTCTGTAATATTTTGTTATGGCAGCCCAAGCCGACTAATACAATTAGGTATCTAAAAAGGTCATAAAATTTAGCATTAGGTTAATAAGAAATCTGGAAATCAAAGTTTTTCTACTTTTCAATTGTAGGGTCACATCTTAGAGTTGTAGATCCTAAGAAAATCAATATGACAAAACTTAAACCACAAAGTCACTTAAGTATAAAGAAAAGCCCATATATTGCTTGAAGAGTATTTGTGGGGGAAAAAAAGTCCATTTTCCCCCGGTTTTGAGATATAATTGACATATACCTCTGTATAAGTTTAAGGTGTACAGCATAATGGTTTGAATTACATATACTGTGAAATGATTACTGCAATAGGTCTAGCATTGATCAACTTACACAGACACAATAAAGAGAAAGCAAACAAAGAAAAAACTTTTTTTCTGGTGATGGAAACTCACAGGATTTACTCTCTTAACAGCTTTCCTATCTACCATACAGCTGTATTAACTATACATTACACCATGCTATACATTACATCCCTAACATTCATGTATCTTGTAACCAGAAGTTTGTACCTTTTGACCACCTTCCTCCAATTTCCACCTCTGTTAACCACAAATCTGATCTTTTTTGCATGACTTTTTTTTTTTAATCCACTTAAGGAAGAAAAGTCACAGACTATTCATAAAAATTTTAAAAATATATGTTCACAAGTGTTTTTAACACCTATGACCACATGACCTTAACATTTTAAAGTACAATTGTGGTTCCTGAGCAAATGAAATCATGTGTTACCCAAATTAACAACAAAGATCTGTAGGGTTCTGAATCCAGGATAAATTATTTTCAGATAAAAAGCAAACTTTTGAATCTTAAAATTTTTTAATGTTTCCATTAGCAACACTTGTCAGTATGATTGTGATTCATATGATCACATTGCAGCTTCCTTGTGACATTAGTTATAAAATGTTGGATTAGGGTTTTATTCTTCAAAGCAGAAGAAGAATCAAGTCTCAACTAATAGACTCACCAAAATGATACATCACTGGCCCCCTTCCACCAAAGGCTGCTCCAGTTTAGAGTTAAGAAATGCCCTGTGCTCGATCTGCTGAAGTTCATCTGTTCTATACAATTAATGGGTGGATTATTTGCCCCATAGCCTATTGAAGGCCCCCACACTGTTAGTGCCTCACTCTCACTGGGCTTTTGATCATGTTCCCGCTCACTAGTATCTTCACCTGTGAGGATGGGCAAGAAAAGAAAGGGAGGGAACTTGCTTAATGTCTTTTTCTACATTAAATTTTAATAAGGAGGGTAGAAGTTAATAAACTAAGTTGAGGAGTCTGGATTGCCTGCCAATGTCATCTGCCGATAGTCCCCAGGCCCGCGCATCCCATGGAAATCAGCAGTCGGCTCGGCTGGTAGGACAGACATCCCAGCCTCCAAGCTTTGCGCAAAGACAGCAGACGGGATGATGGAAGAAAATCTTCCCCAATCGTGGGGCCTTTGAGCTTTATCACATGCGGTACAGACCGCGCTGGACGTTCGATCCTGGTCATTGCTGGCAGCACCGGTCCACTTTCCCAGCGCGGGTCCCTCACACGCTGGATGCACAGTGTGACTGAGTCCGGGGCACCAGAGGCCCCTTCCCCAATGTCCCGGGCTCCTCCGGACGACTTAAAACCACAATGATCGCGCGAGCTGGGTGACAAAGGAGCAGCAGTGCAGAGAGCTGGCCCAGGAAAAGAGCGCACGGAGCAGCCGAAAAGAGAGGGCTCAGAGCCAAGATCGCCGGCCCCCTCCAGCCTCAGCCATGACCCCCGCGGGCCGCCGTAGGTCCCCGCGAGCCGCCGTGAGTCCTGCGGGCCGCCGTAGGAGCGCCGTCCCTCGGCTGCGCTCTCAAGATGGCTGCCGAGCCCCGCTCCCCCCGGCGCCCTCGCTGAGGTCCCGGCAGCAGGCGAGCGGGGCGAGCCCTGCCTTCCGGCACCAGCGCGGCCTAGAGGCCGGGAGAGGCCGGCCGCCGGCTCCGCACGCACCGTCTCGCGGGGCGGGGCGCCGGGCCCCTTCCGGGGATGGGCCCCGGCGCCCGAGTCGACCCGACTTGGCCCCGGCTCCTCCCCGCTCGGGCGGGCGCTCCGCCGTGTCCCCGCCCGTCAGTCCGCCCGGCCCGGCTGGCCGCAGACGGGGCCTGGGCGGCCGCACGGGCAGCTCCGAACCCCCGGGCGTCGGGAGGCGTCGGCGCTACCGCCGACCGGCGGCGGGTCCCGGGTTGCGACCCGGCCAGAGCGGAAAGGCGACGACACCATGTTCTCCCTCAAGCCTCCCAGACCCACCTTCAGGTCCTACCTCCTGCCGCCGCCCCAGGTAAACAACCCCCTCCCCGCGAGCGCCCCTCTCCTTGGCGCTTCCTGGGAGCCGCCGGGCCGACCCCCGGAGGCTCCCCCGGTCTCCCTGTTCCCGGCCGCGCGATTGCCAGAGCCCGACGCCGGGAAAAGCGCCTTCTCGGGAGCCCCCGCTGGCTCGGTGGAAACTTGTAAAACTTCGCCGCAGCCATTCTCAGCCCGGAGACCTGTGATCCGTCGTTTTGCCGTGTGATGGGACTCAAGGGAGTGTTTGGAGTTGGGTTTATTTAGTTCTTCGCCTGGCAGTTGTCCGCACTGTGGCCGCCAGCACGATTGCATCGCTTGTGGGCTCTGGTGGAGGAGGTTACCTGTCATAAATGTGAACACCTGGAAGCGGCAGAGGCCGTTTTAATATTTTTGTCAGACTCCCAATTGATAATGAAGAGATCTTTAAAAGATCTGGTAAAACGTGAAAGATTTTAAGGGGGCGGGGGAAATATGTGTCTGTTGCATGTGTCATCACTTAGAAAACAAAAATTGCTTTCGTATCTCTCACGGGGAGAAAAAGTTTTGATCTTGATTTATTTTGCTGATGTATTTCAGACTGACGATAAGATTAATTCGGAACCGAAGATTAAAAAACTGGAGCCAGTCCTTTTGCCAGGTAAACATCAGAGTTTCAACAGATACTTTAGGAATGTGTTTTGGTCCAAGATTATTCTACCAACTAGTACTATGTGGCTAACTTCTCCCTTGTATTTACGTTAAACTTTACCTGGTTAAAAATCTAACGACTGAGATGACAGAAAAACTTGGTCAGAACTAAATAACAGCAACAAAAAGTAGTGATTAATTTGGTGTTTGTCCTTGAAAATGTAAGCACCCTAGAAAGCTCTCAAGAATATCACTACCTCATTTCCTTTTTTGTCTCCTGAAATGTTCATTTTTGAAGCAATCATTAATTGGTTAGGTAGGGAGAGTACTCTTTGCCCTTCTTGTCTGCAACTTCATGCATTAATGATTAATAGGTCATCGTTTTAGTAGTATGAAAAGCAACTTTTATTATGTTTGGCTCGCTATACCAATAACAAAGCTTAGTGAACATTGAATTACTTACTTGGCAGTTGTTTTTTTGAAGGTGTCAGCTGTGTTTGCAGATTGTTTCAGTTTAGAATGGGGTTTCACGACAGAGGCTCTGCGAAACATTTTGGGCCCAGCAATCCTTTGGTATAGGGACTGTCCCGTGCATTTTAGGACGTTTAGCAGTATCCTTGGCCTCTACTCACCAGATGCCAGGAGTACCTCCTTCTCCACCTCCTAATGTGACCACCAGAATGTCTCCAGACGTTGCCAAAACTTATTTTTTGTCTTTTGCGTCCAGGAGCAAAATCTCCTCCCAGTGGAGAAGCACTGGTTTAGAACAAAATTTACCTTGAAACACCTTAAGAGGTAGAGGTAGGAATTGGTGAGAGATAGGAGTTAAGTTTTAAAGCATATAAAATACTATTTAATTGGTGTTTTGAATTGTATAACAATTATGTAATAATTAGGAAAATTTGGTTGTTTAATACGATTCTTGCGTGGAGTAGCCAGATACCTAGGAAAGCCTGTTATCTAATCAAATACCAATTTGTGCTACTTTCAACATTTAAAAATCTTAGTCATTACTTAATGCTAAATCTAGTAAAGGGATTAGAACTTTATAGGTAGTAATTGAATATGGAAACTTTATTTTGTGCTTCAAATTTTAAATGTTAAGTAGGAACAAACATATTACAATCAACCTGTGGTTCAGTATTATAGATGCTAACTCTTAAAAATTGTTTTCAGCTTTATTATGGAACTTAGTTATAAATATTTTGCCTTTATTTTGTTAATGTTTTTTATCCAGCCAGTGTGTACTAAAATAATCCTTTGTACTTTTCCTGAGAGTGAACAATAGAAATAATAAGTAACCTTTGCTCCCTGTGCATGCTCTTGTTTTAGCCTTAGTCACTCCAGGCATTTAAAAGTCAGCTGTGGGAAACAGTACTCATCTTAATTGAGTGAGTGCCTGTGAGCTATTGAACTTTGGCTTCCTTTACTTTGTCTGAATAGGCCCTGTTCATAGGCCTTGATTTCCTTCCCTCTTCTGATATTATGATTTGGCGTTAATAAACCACAGGTCTTAGATATAAATGATAGTGCTTGATTTTTTAGGATTGCCTTTTATATTTAAGATATGCTTATGAAAGAGTTACTAAATATCAGTGAGCAGGAAGAACTACAGAATTAACTAAAAACTTACCTTTCTACTAAAAAGTCACAGTTCTCTGGGGAAGGTATGAACTCATTTCCTGCCTGTAAGTGGTTTGTGAGTCCTAGAAAGGGCAGCTAAATGTAGATACTCTGATCCGTGTTACTTTTTCTTATATTGGCTCTGGGTATGCAAACATGATGGCTCTGGTACGCTGGATTCTGTTTGCAGCTAACCTGTTTCTTACAAAACATTTAGCCAATCCTGGATGAGTGTGTCTTTTGCCTTCCTTCCTCACTCCTTTTCTTTCTCATCTTGGCCTTCCCATACACTCCCCAGTTTCTTTCTACCCGGCCACCCCGTTTTGGTCTCTGTTTCCTGCTTCCCCTCTTGAGCCACCTGTCTGACTACCACCAGAACCTCCGTTGCTCCTCCTTTGGCCTGCGTCCTACTACTTGACCTGTGAAATCTGGAAGACAGGTGGAAAGTAATTGAGGCATTGGTCATCTAAAGACCTGGGCTAGGTTAGGGTTTTTACTAAGAGGGCTTAATAATATAGTTCTTGCCTTACTTATAGTCAGAAACCAAGAGGAAGCTTGGCCAAGTCAGCTGTGGCTTTACACAGGCACACGGAACAAGAAGTAATTGTTCAGAGATATAGTATTGCATGTTATACTTTGGCATAGTGCCTTGGGTTCAAGGATATCCTACTTTAGTTGCCCAAAGTTTGAACTTTTACAAGCAGATGAAAATTAGACACGAAATGAATTGTGTGCAGTTACTGTGTGTTCCTTTGGAACTTAACAAGACTAAATTTAAAATGATCTTCGTCTTTTATTAAGTGAAGAAAATAGAAGAAACTGGTAATTTAATTCCGATTGTGCTTTGTGGTAGTAATTTTCAGTTTGCCTGGTTCATGAATCTCCTTGAGGTAGAAGTTGTGTCTAATTCGGCTTTGTGGACTTGATGTCTAGTGCGATGCATTGAGCTGCTGCTTGAGTGTCTGACCAAATGAAAGGACCCCTAGAACACCAGTTTGAATTGTTACCGTAGCCATACACACAGGCAGACAGACCAGCTCTCAGATTGAGTAGTGGAAGACTGTTACTTTCTGCCATGTGTCTCTGCTGTCTCCCAGAGCCACACTTCTTAAGAGAATTATTATCTGAGCCTGGAATTGAGATACAGTGCCCTGTCAAGGCAGCTAGCTTTGCCTGGGCTTTCTCTTCATCTTCCCATCATTACAGGAATCTTGTTCTTTTAATGATTGTGTTGTATATGTGTAAAATCACCCCAATCCTTTTGAAAATAGGGAGAGTTTGAATTTTTAAATACACGTGTGTGTGTGTATGTTCCAGCATATATTTGTTAAGGGCAAGTACTGCCAGGCTATGTTCATATATTTTGGAGGGGAGGGCAGAGAGAGAGAGAGAGAGAATCTTAGGCAGGCTCCACACCCAGGACGGAGCCTGATGTGGGGCTTTATCTCAGAACCCCGAGATCATGATCTGAGCCAAAATCAGGAATTGGCCACTTAACTGACTGAGCCACCCAGGCACCCCAGACTATGCTCATATCTTTTTCAGAGAGCTGCTGGACTGGTGAAGCAGTTCACTGAGCACCTGAGCTGGGTGCCTGGCTCTGTGCCAGATGGGGAAAGTGCTAGAGGAGTGTGTGCCTGCATCACAGCAACGCCTTTGGACAAGGGAGAAGATAGTGACCTATATTACTCTTTTCCAGGATCTGGCTGGCATCAGATCTGGATGAAGTTTTTACCAGCCCTTGGTCCAGTTGAGAAAATTAGGAAAAATGCAGCTTTTGCCCACAGAGCTAAGCTGATTTGAAGGATTGTCCTGTATTCTGAGATTTTGTTCTTCCAGCTTCCTCGTTATAGATATATTCTCTGTTAAATGATGGTGGTAGTAGCTACGGCTTTAAAGAAGTTTTTAAGTTAGCAATATAAAAGGTTAAGAACTCTGTGTTGGTTGCCTGAATTGTTTTTATAGTATACCTGATTTGTGGAATCTGAACTAGAAACCATTTGATAAGGTTTTTATAATATCATAGATATAATTTCTTAAAAAGATTTATTTATTTTAGAGAGAGAGAGAGAGAGCACACAAGTGGGAGGGGCAGAGGGAGAGGAAGAGAGAATCCCAAGCAGATTCCTCGCTGAGCAGGGAGCCCAATGTGGGGCTGGATCCCAGGACCATGAGATTATGACTTGAGCTGAAACCAAGAGTCAATGCTTAACCGACTGCACCACCCAGGTGACCCCATAGGTACAATTTAATGAGCACTTACACAGAGATCATCAGTAATTTTGTCTGCCTAGGAATCATTTCACTGTCTTCTGAAAAACTCACCCTCTCTCCTTTGACACATTGATCTTCCCCATCCCCACACTGCCTTGGGTTCTAGTGTGGCCAGCAAGGATAATAACCCACCCCCAGACTGCAAGAATGGGCACAGTTCTGCCTCTGGATATTTTCAGATTCCTTTTTGGTAATTCTGCCAGTGGCCGTAGTTCCAGGAAACCTGCCCCAAAGAGTGAAGTCCCATGTTTTAGAGAGAGGCAGAGGCGTAACACTAAGGAGGACTTCCGAATGTGTTCAGGCTCCTGGGCTCCATTTTCCTTGAAGTCCAGCTAACACAAAAGCCACAGATTTCTTTTTACTTAGCTAGCTCCAGGCACACTTCTGATACTTTCAGCTAAAATCTTTAATATGTAGCTTTCAGGTTACTCTTCATAACAGCTTTCTCGGGGAGGCACCCATTTATCTTCGTGTGCCCAATGAGATGACTGTAGTTGCACACGGTAGGTAACTTGCCCAGTACGCACAGGTAGCAAGGGCAGAGCCGGGATTCTGAGCCCCACTCCCAGGCTGTGCCTTTAACCACTAAGCAACAGGGCCTACCTGGCCGCACTGGTGACATGAGGGTACAGATTTATGCTTTGGAACTGGAGAGGGGGTGGATTGGATGTCTGCCTGGAAGTTCTCTAGTGAGGTAAAAAGAGCTCTGTCCTTGGCTGTGCCCTTTCCACAGCAGTGACAGATTTTGACCCAACTTGAGGAACAACTTTCAATTTCAGCTGCCAGAAAACGGACTGCCTTGGTGGCAGTGGACTTTCTGTCACTGGCCGTGCCGAAGCAGAGGCTGGTGGAATGCCAGCGGCTTTGTCATGAGGTGGTGAGCTTTGCAGTAAGTGGGCTTGCTGGCCTTTTCTCTCTTCTAACTCTAGGGCAGGATCTGATTAAGGATCTGTGAGGTGGGAGGGAGGATGGCTTGAAACACCGTGGCTAACAGTAACGAGTTCACTGTTCCACAGGTATCTAATGCATGTTCGTGCTGAAAAGCTGAAAAAGTTGGGGTCCTGCCCTTAGATGGTTTCAGTTCACTGGAGGAAATGCTTCAGGAGAGCAGAG